TCAAGGTGGGTGGCGGCATGTACGTTGTAGATGTCTATGGGTTCCAGTAACCACTTAGCACCAGGTGAAATCTGAGCCCTCCTAGTGTTAGGTGAGTCCACCCATCTACGCAATAAATAAATAAAAAAGTCTTGCTACAATTCCATACAATAAAATAATTTCGGCTGTAGGTTTCTCGTTGTGATGGATATGGACGCCGGCCAGCCCTTAGTACCGCTAGCGCGTCTATCTTTCTACGAGATTAAAAACCGAAATTGCAAAGATCTGAACCACAACGAGTTGTTTTCTTATTTTTTTACTTCAAGAAAAGTGAAACTCCCATAAATCTGAGGGTCCATCAAATTAATCGTTACCCACANATAAAATAAGTTCGGCTGTAGGTTTCTCGTTGTGATGGATATGGACGCCGGCCAGCCCTTAGTACCGCTAGCGCGTCTATCTTTCTACGAGATTAAAAACCGAAATTGCAAAGATCTGAACCACAACGAGTTGTTTTCTTATTTTTTTACTTCAAGAAAAGTGAAACTCCCATAAATCTGAGGGTCCATCAAATTAATCGTTACCCACATCAGGCACACTATGCTTGCTCTATTTCTTGTTGAATCCTCAGCGAGAAGGATCTGCTCTCTCGAGAAAATCTCATTTTTTCTTCGCCATTTGGCGCGCCGGCTTAGATTGTATTTTATCTTTATGCGAAATCATAATTCATGCTGTTTTTGCTTCGCTCTCCATTGGAGGCTGTTAGGTGTTTAATGTTTCCCCCTATCTACGTTACATGCAAATGTCGCACTCACCATTGTTTATTGTTGTTGATAAAATCACTATTTGTGATAGTATTTAATTGATGCTACATTCTAAATAGCGCATTGAATGTAATGGACCTTAAAGTGATACTTCAAAAAGTTTACAAAATATTTACGTAGCTTAAAATCTTGAATAATAATAATAATAAATTTTTATTTCAGAATTAAATTCCATAAGAAGTGTTAGTAATACAAAATCTTGAAGTGTTAGTAATACAAAATCTTTCTTAAAAAAGCAGTTCATTTTATTTAATAAGTACAGTGCATTTAAGTTTTGGAGAATTCGATTTATCGACCATGCCGATAAATACATTCGTAAAATAAAGAAATCCGTTGTAAAATTAAGGCCATTCAAAACATCATATTCGTTATTCGATTTCATAAACACACATCTGACAATACAAGATTGATTAAGCGCCGTTTGATTAAAGGAAAATATGTTTACGTATCGCGTTTCGTAAGTTCGTGGCATTTGTTTTGTGAGAGCCTTTCATTTGACCCCCAAGAGCGTCTGCGCGCTACCCAAAAAAAAAAACACAAAATGATAAATGAAGATCATCGGTAGTTGCGCGTTACATAAACGCTGATGGATTGATTGTAAACGAGCATGTGTGCTCATCGATCGATTAGTTCCTGCCTTGGCCCAGCCCGGGGCTCATCTCGCCAACGATTATCATTAATGGATTTCGTAAACGTCTAAGCCGGGGCATCCAAGATCCTGCTTCATTAAAAATGAACTCAATCTACGATGCTTCAATTTACTAAATTCAAACGTTTTGAAAGTCATTAACATTCCTAAACCTCACATTTTAATTCGTTTTGTACTCACAAGTAGATTTCACTTTTGGAACATACGATCTAGTTCATGATAAACAACGTACGAAGTCAAATACGAATGATTAATTAAATAATATTCAATAAACGATGTTTGATTAACAAAAGGTTAATCTGCGGCGGCATCTACCACAAATAATGTACCACTGACTGGCTATGTTTTCAATCACAGTCATTCATTATTCACTCACTTCTCTTTGCTGTTGCCGAAGTACACACATGACTTTGACTTTGTTTTGTTATACTATTAATATTTAAATCTTCAATTGTTTCCGGATAAAAGTGAATCTGACTGTCAATCAGAAGATGGTATGTTACTGTTGTCACTCCTTAATCCAATATCTGTCTGTAATTATGATATATTTCTAATTTCCCTACGAAACTATTCTGTTGATTGCTACATCTTGTACGACGCTGGTGAATGGTTTGGTTACTCCGTCATGCCCGTATCTGTAGCGAAGGATTTGTGCGTCCTCGTTTGAAGGAAATATTTAAATTATATTTGAGACCTCGATTTATCCAAGGCAAATAGAATACTAGTTTGTAGCCAAAAGAGGGCGAATAATTTGACCCCGGCCATTTATTGTTTAATGTTCACGGTAGGCGTAGACACACTCCTTGTGTTTGTTCTCTATGATAAACTGTAATTTTACAACAATTTAGAATCAGATGAACTGTAAAGCTGCCCAGTATAACGTCATTGCCGTTCTATTTAAATGATAAAAGTATTTGTTTTAATTGAAAATATTGTATGGCATATCGTGTTAAAGGAAAGTAGAACCGACGTCCCTTATAAAAAAGGACAGTAAAAGATTAGTATAGATCAGTTGGGTCTTTGTCTTTTTTTCTCTCTTTTGATTCATGACATGCTATTTTTAGGGCTTGATTAACTGTATGGGAATATAGCGTGTGCTTTTATTCGACGTTGTACGCAATCTTGAGTGTATTTTTTGTTGTCATTAGTTGACGTGAAATAACACTTCTGAGCTATGGCATCATGGTCCAAAAAAATAAATTGTGTGAAAAATTACGATGATTACATCTAATAACGGCTGGACGGTCGGAGTCATTTGATGGCCTCTGCCACAGATTGGCGTCATTAGCCGCAATGATAGTGACCTAAAAGAGTAATTTTGTTTTCCTTTGCTACTCATTACTTATAACTACCTGCTTTCTTGTAGCGCTATCTTTCAATGCTTTAGTAAAGCAAACACGATTGTAATATTTGACAATTTTGTTGCATACTACGATTAATTTCATTATGCTTAATCATTGGTAAATAAGGTTTAATTAAAAGTGCGAATGGTTACTATTTCAGCCTCTAAGCAGTTATGCATCTTGGACTGAAGGACAGTCTGTTATATACAAATTATAATTAGTACTTCAACCTCACCTACACCAGGTGAGCTGTGAGCTCATATGTCCGACCAGATTAGTTAAAACAATCTATAACTTTGTTACTTAAAATTTCTCTGAACTAAAAAGCAAACAAAATAAAACCGGATACATTTAAAAGAAAGATAAAACGTTTCCTACAGTATATAATTTTAATATACATTTTCTTGAAATGCCACACTGCACTGTCGCATGACTTAATCTTGCCCTGTTTTCCGTGCCAAGTAACTCACTAGATAAGCCTCACATACACAGACAAATAAAGAACGCTTTATTTCTTACATTCGATGAATACAAAGTCCAAAGGGACGTGCCAATGACACTTGACAGCCACTCATCACAAGGCGTTTGACATTTGAGCCAATTCGTGTTCCCAGCACTAAGTCTCCATTGGCGTATCAGGCAATTAAACCGGCCATCAGACGGACGGTAAGCAGATGCCTGTCACTTTTATCAAATACATTAAACTGGCTGCTTGAATCGAACATTTATTTTCTTATATATTTTTTTTCTCATCCGGGCATAAACCCTCTCAACAGTGTAAGATAACGAGTAATGTATTGGTTCTATGTCGAATAATTAAACGTCCCTTTTATATTGAGTTCGGTTCTGTAAGTGCAATGTTCAGGAGCTAATTAATGTAAAGTTTTATTTGTATTTAGGAACGGTCGTCGTATCTAAGGCAAAGTTTTTATATTTCTTTATTATTTAGGAACTACTCAAAGGATTGGCTTGGATATTTAAATCTATACTTCTATACTTAATATTATAAAGAGGAAAGATTTGTTTGTTTGTTTGTATTGAATAGGCTCCGAAACCACTGAACGGATTTAAAAAAATCTTTCACTGTTGGAAAGCTACGCTATCCCCGGATGACATAGGCTATATTTATTATATTTTCAAACAAAAATTAGGGATCCTTACTGAAACTACAATAATGTAACCCGATGTGTAAAAAAATTACCTAAAATTCTTTACATCGCGTGCGCTACTTCTCAAGCGAAGCCGCGGCGGGCCGCTAGTGTTAAATAAATTAACAGTTAAAAGGAAATAAGTGTCTTGAAATGATCTTTTGGGTCGGATTCGGGTGGAAGCGTTGGACGGATTAGAAACATTTAATCTGTCAAGTTGTCGCTTTTGAAAGACAATGGCCCAGACTACAATCAGGCACAGTTCAAGCGCTTAGCAACCATCTAGAAACGAAATAATAGACGTTTACTGAACTACAAATTTAAACAAAATTATTTAGTTTGGAATTAAGAATAATAAATTTTTTAACTAAATATATTTAGTATACAATACGCTCGGGATTATTGAACCTTAATTCAATTAAAAATGAGTGATTTTGGATATTGACTTCATTACTTAGTCTTCTTCTTCTTCTTAGTCGAATACTTCATTGATGAAGGTCGTGTCCCTGAAAGCCCTTCGTGGCTCTTTGTACCATCAGCTTACATTTGCTTCGGTTTTCGGCTTCTCTCAGGGCGGTCGAAACAGAGAGTCCAGTGAGCGCAGTTATCTAATCTGACCAACGGTTTGGTGGCCGGCTGGCGGGTCTTATTATTATTAAATTACTTAGTACATGATATAAATACAAAACCTATGTTATGCGATGCGAATCTGGTTAAGTCAAAAATCGTTAGCCAGTTGGATCATTACATACTCACAACCGAACAAGTATTACAATAAAAGGTCTTCAAGCCAACAAAACTCACGCTAAACTGGTCATTTGAAATGATATTTTCTACTATAAAATTGGAAGCACAATTAAACCACGTGAACCTCGTACCTGATTCAGACATTTATTACTATTTACAGCACTTACGCTATTCCTAAACGACACTTAGGCATAACCAAATTTCGATTACCAATAAAATTCGTATAAACAAATTTTAAATATGGAATTTAAATGCAAATTTTCATGTTTTTAACGTATTTGGATCTGACATTGTGTCTGTTTGTTCACAGTTTGCGGCGCCGAAGCCTGGCGGGGAGTCATCGTGTTTGCAAGGCCCCGACTGTTTTATGGTGAGTGTATAAGAGGAACGCAGGCTACATAGGCAGTTGGACAACCCGACCCAAACAATTTAAGAGGATTGTTGTATCTCTTTTATTTTTATTCGTAATACAGTACCGTATTGTATTGCAAATAAAAATACTTTAATTGAGCATAGCAAAAACGTGTATGAGATGCGCTAAAAATAATGATTCTTTAAAAATGGAATAGCTATATAATTCAAATTAAGTTTCTACGTTTTCCGATACAAAACAACACTTAGTCCAAAATTAAGTTGAAATTTCTTTCCGAAGTATAATTTTTGATTTCCATTTCTGCTGTTTTTTAAAAACGTTGTTCGCTTTTTATATCCGTGTATCAAACTACATAGCTTCCTTATTAACTGTTAGACTTTAAACGTTCTGAATTTTTATGAAGGAAGGAATTGAAAGCTCTCGTAAAACTTGATTGTTGAAACCGTCATTCAAACGAACATTAATTTTAGTCACGAGGGCCTTATTTTTAATAGCTATACGGATTTCCTCAGTGAAGAGTTATTTTAAGAAATCACATTTTTTTATGAACGTGCTTGTGTTATGAACGATTATTTTTTAAGTTAAATTTTGAAATATTGCATCAATGTGTTACTTCTTTTAAAATAATGATATTTTGAGAATTACCTTAATTCAGATATATTGCTGCGTTGCTGTTTGAGATAAAATTTGATTACAGCATTTTAATGGATATCAACGATATTTTTTGTGAAAACCAAAAATTTCCACATAAAACACAAATAAATCTAAATAAACCATTCTATCAACCACCGGATCATTAATAATCTGCATTTCTACTGGTTCATGAAATTATTAAAGCTTGCTGACGACAGAATCAAGTTAACGTCAACTTTAACTAATGGGTGTCGGATGCGACAAATACTCCATGATAGAAACTTTATTTAGGGTTTTCACTTGACAAATTTTGTGAAACCTGGCCTTTTGCAGATAAATACGAACGCCTTTACTTTTTTGGTTCTTTTGTCTTAAATGTGATTAAACTGGGCCATATTTCAACCTTCAACGTCAACAATATTCTTGCGTAGCTTGTTATGTGTTAAAGCATTTCACTTTCACATTTGTTTTAGTCACAAACTACTACTCATTTGTACTAATGATGTGACTAGAAATAAATCAACGTGTTCAAAAGACTCGTTTTTAATCGTGACAAACTCATGTGTTGATCATTCTGAATGGAATGCGTTTGTTGTTGCAGTGTTGGGAAAACTGTGAACTTCTCCAGTCCAACTACCAAGTATGGGGAGCCGTGTGTGAAGAAAAAGACATTTGTGTAAGTTAATATTTTTTAATTCTCGATTTTGTTTTAACCGCGTTATTTTATTATATAATTATGGTTAATTGATGGAAACTCTTTGTTATAGTTTCCGGGTTGCAAAATTGCTTGCGAATTTCACGCGGAAGCTGCAAGAGCTGGGCAAACACAACCCGTGATACACACGAAAGGCGAAGGGGTAATGCGTGTAAGTGGAGCTCTCGCTCGTTGGCCCCCACCAGCGCCGCGAGCATCATCTCGACCTGTTCCCCTGGTGTACGTTGTCATGCGTCGAGCTGCAGACGGACCTTGGCGTCAAATCATACAAACGCAAGCACTCGCTACACGGGTGCCGTCAAATAATGAAGGTGCTCTTCTCAGGGTTCTTGTGGTGGATCCACAAGGCCTTGTAACGATCTATAGTCCAGATGAAAACTGGGTCGCACACGACGCAAATACATCTAACCACGATGAGCACAAGTGGACTTTAAAAGAGATATCCCTCATTCACCAAAAAGTCTTAGTTATAGGGGAAATTGCTTGGGAGCCAAGAATAGCACGTGGCGTTTATCTTGTTACATGGGAAGTTGATGGCGGAGGCCTTAAAGGTAATCTTTTCACTGACTCTACTAGAGTTACCCTGTCACTCTGGCCTGATACAGTGTATCACATTCAAGTAGAGTTAGTATCTCGTACTCCTGGCGTTGATAATGAAAGGTCCGAAACGATGACAATTGACACGAGCCGAGCTCAGAAGGTTTCAACTGAGAGTGTTCAAGATGTTCAAGTCAGTGACGGTGACCGTCTTATGTCTGTGTTGGTTAGTTCAATGAGAGGTGAACGTGTCACAGACCGGGCGCCTAATTCAGAGTTGGTACTGGGGTGCCTATCAGCTATGATAGCTTTCGGTCTAGCCGTATTAGTGGCAGTTGTTTGGAGGCGACGGCGACGAGGTACATTTCCAGGGACCAATGTATATGTAGGTTCGTCTTCGGTTTTAAAACGAAAGCTTGTTGAAGATTTTGTACCAGCGACGCATTGTTTCCAACCAGTCTTGGCACCTGAAGCTCCCTCTAACGAGCAGGTGGCACGCGACGTAGTTGTGTGACGTCACAGCTTTGATATGCTGTCCGTGGAAGATTGTCTCTTCAGTTCCTAAGTTTTCAGACGTTATTTAAAATGTTAAAGACATCAAAGTGAACAGAAGAAAATTGTGATAATAAGATACTCAATGAAGTGAAAGTTAGTAAGTGTTTTGTGGATCGTGCATTTTTAGTTGTGTTGCTATTTACTAAGCGGTTTAAATTATAAATTGTAAATGCTGATTTCAAATTCGTCATGTTATTTTTGTTTTTAGGTTAGGTGATTGTAAAATAAATTAATTATGGATAGTAAAAATGTATTTATGAAACACAGTAAGATTAACACCACAAAAATTAGTGTTGTACATAATGTCAAGAAATATTAGAATTATTAATATTATTTCCGTAACTATTAACTGATTTGTAATGCTTGTAAATAGTAAGTGGTTAATTATTACAATAAACGTTATTGGACTTCTTCGAATAAAATCATCGAAAGAGAAGCGAAATGTTTTTGAGCACTCGGAAATAAAACGTATTTTTTTACAAAAATATTTAGCCGATACATTGAAGTACGAGCAACTCTTAGACGTATTCGTTTCCAAATGTTCTTTAATGATGTCTGACAGACAACTAGTCCTTGTAACAGTTTAGTTAATATATTAGATGTTAGCCATATTTTAATAAAGATACATATAGTTTCCAAAAGATTCTTAATCGTTGTAGTNGCACTCGGAAATAAAACGTATTTTTTTACAAAAATATTTAGCCGATACATTGAAGTACGAGCAACTCTTAGACGTATTCGTTTCCAAATGTTCTTTAATGATGTCTGACAGACAACTAGTCCTTGTAACAGTTTAGTTAATATATTAGATGTTAGCCATATTTTAATAAAGATACATATAGTTTCCAAAAGATTCTTAATCGTTGTAGTGAATTAATATGTCTTCTTGAGCAATAAATTACAGTGTAACTAATGTAAATATACGAAACATATATTGTAAAAAAAAAAAACAGAGAAATTATATTTTTCTTGATCTTCGACAGTAATATCTCTTATTGGGCGGGTGGATATTACTGATGTTTATACATCATCTATATTATAATATTAATTTTTGAAGGGGAAATATTATAATTCTTCTATATTTATTTCGAAAGTAAAACTCGTTTTAAGAACTTCTATTGTGCCGTCGTGGCATTCCCCTTTTAATTACATTTGTAGAGTAACAACAATTAAATTTGTCAAAATGATATTAAGCTTTTAACAATGTACTTAATTTTATTTTTTAGATTTCATCTAAGTGACAAAAGACCAAAACAATTTTCTTTTTTTTCTTTTTGGTTTTCATCAGCCAAAATCCAATTAAATCGTAAGCTAAGTGTTTAATATTAATTTATTTTTGTGATTAATTTCGTACCTTCTTTCCAATTTGTAAATAAATTATAACTTGCTATAAATGGCGAAGCTGAAATTTAACGAGTATAAATAAATGTCTGCCAAATTAAGTTGTATTGTTATTTGATTCATTGAACAATAGAAAAGTTTTTTAATCTCGGAAACTGTTCTCACGCCTAGATTCGTTTTTATGAAAATGGAAATATAGACAATAAATTTCTCGTATTGCCAAAAACAAAGAATAAATAGAAAATACCAATATTATTATAATATAATCATATTATTCTGTGAAATATTTTTTCTTATCCCTAAGTTTATTTACTTATTCCATTATCGATACTTCTCTATCACGTGTAAGTGAATAACTTAATATACTAGTCACTATTTTTTTAATCTACACATTCGTTGCTGACTTTACATGCTGCGTAAAAATATTAGAAAGTATTTTCTTTAATTTTGAATTTTTGTTTTCAAACAATTCAGTATTACTGAGTCTCAAAGTCACTCAAGTATATACAGTGAAAAAGCAATCATTTGAAACGGCTTTAAACAAATATTAACTCACAGATTTGGCTTAGGTCAGAAAGGATGCTGGGTCGATGTTTAACTCTGTCCCCGAATGAAATCGTTCCATTGTCTAAGGATTAGCGTCAACGAATTTGTTGTCAACAAACGCCTGATCAAACAAAAAGATTTGTGCGTCACAAAGCCCCAAAGAACCCTTCATTTCAATCATTGTCGACATTCCAAACGCGCAAGCTTAAATACTTAACGTTATTTTACCGGAATAACGGATCACAATAATGAATTCCATTATTAACTTAAAACACACAAAAAAAAAAACAATCGAAGTCAAGAAATATTTTTCTAAAGTAGGAATTCATAAATTCGGGGCCTATCTTTTTAAAAGCCAATTACAAAGTTTGAGTTTCATTAAATTGAGAAATCCATTAAGCTAATCGTCGAGCTGGGAGCCACCGACGTGACGATTATGAAAAGGTTATTCTAACATGCAAATGCGAAGGCTTCTTAATGTAAATTACGTGTAAATGGAAGACAGTCTACATTCTGAACTATAATAGACGGCCCTGCCCATGGAGACCCGTAATTCACGTCAAAAGATTAGATATGGGCTTTTTGTTTTTGAATCGTTAAAATCGAATCATAGTATTCTATAAAAAGCCAGTTAAGATAGTTCGCTTTGACGTCGGCTTCCAGTTTTCTCATACATTTTCATTAAGAAATAAAAAAAATATATATGTTCAGTTTGCTTTGTAAATCTGTGATTATGGTAACGTACGATCGTTTATTTTAGTTACCCATTTCATTCTTGGCCGCGGTACTAGTATAAAGCATAGGCTCATAAATAACGGGAAAATAGAAGGTGAACGCTTCCACGAGTATCCTTTTGGGAGCGGCCAAAGCATTCTTTTAAGATTTATTACAGAACTTGGGCACATTACTTATTCCTTATGCGCCTTCCGTTCCGATAGTCCTTTCGATGTACATATATTTTGACTGTTACCTTACTGAAATTCGATACAATATTAGTTATTTTAGATTTGATAATTTTAATTCTACTAAAAGAAACTACGTTTGGTTGAATAACAATAATTACAGCTATTTTGTTGGGATTTTCACATTTCGGTAGTTTAGACAAAATAATCAATAATTTTCAATTTTGTTTCTTTATTACCATTGCCGCGTAAGACAAATCTCTTTAGTTTATAGTAAGGCCAAAAAGTGAAATTATTACCAAGAATTTTGTTCAATTTATGAGATACGTCCATAATTAGGCAAACGAAACGCTACATTATTATAAAATATATTCAAGATTGTATATTTGATCTAGGCTATACAATTATGGAGGCGATGATAGGCCATTAACCAGCCTTACTAAGTTAAGATGATAAAATACTAATGACTACTACCTTTACTATCAGATGATTTTTAATGATAACTTTAAAGATAAACATATTTATACAACTCACGTACTGTTTTAGCAAATATTAAAACATGCTCAGTGTATTTTTTGTAAAAAAATACTATTTTCTCGACGCCATACCTCGAGGGCCCTACACACTTCCTTACAGAACCACCCGATCCACTAACGTTATTACTAGATGCCTGCAGCTATAACACTAGGAGCAGTCATAGTCACCCTAACAAAACCGTACTCATTGAATTTACCAAATATTTGGACATGAAACCTCCATGCATCAATCCACCATGTTCCTCAATGGATCTTCTCAACAGGTCTCTTTTCCAAGTCCGATGGTAGATACTTTCGCGAAGCAGCTGCCCTTGTGCTGCTAGATCTTCTTAAGTTGGCTCAAGGTAGCTGTCAGCAAATCTCATTCTCCCTGTCTGCGTCCATACTCGTTCGGTAAAACTGGAAAAGCGTCCGGGCCACGAATAATCCTTAATTCCTAAAAAAATCTCGAGAGTGATGGTTCTCACAATATTATGGTTTCCAGCCACCCCTTAAGACCAGGCCAGGCATGAGGTCGTGCAGTTATTTAGTACAACAAAAGTTAAGCACCAAAATATAATCTATCAATACTCATCACATTCTTCTCTTTTATAGACCAAGTTATAGATTAGATTATATAGATTTGTAATACTGCTAACTTACAAGACCCGGTTGCTTTGCACAAACTCGTCCCGACAATGTTTTACAGCGCCTATCTTTAATAAAATTACGCATTTCTGTACACCTTTGATAATTTCTGCAATTGGAATATTTTAAGTAGATCCTATCTAAGCTGCCAATGCAAAGCGAATGTGTGGGACAGTGTTTCTAGTTAACGACCACTTCGTACAGCCGTCTTACGTAATAAAAAATGATAGGGGTTCTTTATATGTATATCTTTAAATATTAAAATATTTTTATCTCTGTCTTTTTAGTGTTAATAATAGAGATATCAATGCTTTTTCTTAAACATATTTCAAGGATTCAGATTAGAAAGCTCATAATTTGTTTGCTTAGTGCAAAAATTGGGGAATCGAAACATGTGAGGAGAACAATATTATAATATTAACAATTTATTGCGGTTCGTCTCAATTTTTATTATATACATTTATATATTTTATTAATACGCTTTTATTAGCTTCAGACGTATGTAGTTTGTAACGGAATCTTTGAACATGATTTTGACCCGGATTATCTCTAAATTTGGTACACTTATTAAGGACCGATGACAATTAAACTTTAAAAATTTTTTAAAATAAAATTGTAAATATTGAAATTCAACTAAAAAATGAAAAATATATAATAGTTTAAAAAAACACAACAAAATACGCTTTTACAGAACATCTTACTAAAAAATAGTAAATAAAATTTTAATAAATTTGAATTAAACATAGTGTCAATAAAATCATTCTTTCTTACACTATTTATTAATTCAAATTTATTAAAATTTATTATCTTCTATATTTTATTGGAGTTGACAATAGAATGAAATCAGGCTATCATAATAACAGTAAACCGTGGTAATAAATTGTGAGCAGACATCATGTCATTAACAGTAAGGATGAAACGTCGGAAATTCACTTCGCGCAATTACTACAGCGTAACAGTCAGCTGGACCCTTCACACGGCCAGCGAACTCCTTATCTACTGTCGACTGCGCATTTATCAAACATTTCACGCCTATTCCTAGTTACAAACAAGAATATAATAAATAACTTAATGCAATGTAAATTTTTAGCATCGTAGCAAAAGTCACATCACTAGATTTTCTTGGTGTAAGTTTCGAACACTTCAGCACCACACACAGTAAAGAAATTAGCCTTTTTAATAGTATCACTTTCAATTCCATTTGCCTCAAAACAATATTTTAGTCTGTCAATATAACTGTCCCAATTATTCGATTTTACATTAAATTCTTGGAATTTAACTGATTTACGCTCCGTATTAATATTTTACGATCGTCGCCAATATTATGTTTTATTATTTAATAATGAACTTAAGCACATGTGTTCGATAACAAATCAGTTCATTGTGTGTCTGTCTTTATGCACTTAGCAATGCTTTTATTAAAAGGAGAACAAATACCATCACTACACATATCTTAATCTCAATGTTGGAATAATAATATTGAAAATGTTTATGGAAATTCTGTTTTGTTACCATATAAAAGTAAAAATTTTCATTGATTTTTCCAAAATATTATAACGTTTTAATAAATTCCAGACACCACAATAACAATTGGCGCAAAATATCATTATAAATGTTTCCAAACTTCAAAATTCAAGATATTTGCACAATAAAAATGATTCAACTAATTATGCTTATGAAATTGGTTTCTACTAAAT